TTAGTATTTGCTCTGATCATTTACGAAGAGCGATCGTATAGGTTGTGTGGTTATTTCGGCTAGATGAATTTCCCATGAAACACGGCTGAACCAGGCCTTTAATCCTGGATCATTGGTTTAGGATAGATTGTAGAAAAGAAGATCTGCATTCAAGAAAAAGGAAAGAGAATACTTACGTCATCAATGATTCGCGCCAAGCATAAAAATAAAAAACTCGGCGAGCAATCTACGAAAAATCATTGTCCCAATGAAAATGATACAGTAGGATAAAAGATATTTATAATCTTTAGAAAGTGATAGCATTTCTCTTACGATTGCCCTGTTTTGCTGAAAATAAGATTGTAAAAATATTACGTAGAATTATTTAATTTTGATAATACTAGATATGTTAAAATGCATCAAAATATTAAAATACGTTATGGTATCTATTGAACTAATAGGCAGGTATTATATGGGAGTATTATATATACAGTTACACACGTATATTTTGGGATTTTTTGGGAACATCGACTGTATGTGTGGCTGCCTCTGAATAATAAATTTAACAGATCATAATAAAATTGCATTCAGTTTGGGGAAAAAATGGCACAATAATATCAGAGTTCAAGCGATTTTTCATGCATTATTCTGCATACAGCAAACAAATGGTGCATGATTGAAAAAATTAAAATAGATAATAGCATATTTTTCCAGATTCGAATCAGCGATTAAAATTAAGTTCAAAGATAAATTCAAAACATATGTAAATTAGCAATTAATAAAAATTAAAAACACTCCAAAAAATACATTCTTGCTCTCTATATATGTATGTATATATAGATCAATAGCATTTTTATATTAGAATATATTAAGAACATTTATTTTTTATAAAAAATATCCCAAATGTAAAACACACATAATAAAGAATTTTGTTGAATTTTTTTCGCAATTAGAAGATTTCTCCGATAATCGCGCAACGTTGCTCTCGTTTCGATCAGTTCTTGTTTAACATCTTGTAGTGAATCTGCCGAATGAATTCGCTGTTGCCGGAAGTAAGAAGAATCGACCAGCATTCCGGGCTCTCGCGCACGTGCCGATGCAACGATTTCTTCCATTTGTACGATCTGGAGCAGGCTAGACAGATGTTGTATTCTGAAAAAGAAAGCAACACGTAGACTTGTCAGCGACTTTCAAGCAGAACACGCGAGGAACATTGATGTCTTTCGAATAAGACCATCTCGAACAGGTCTCAATTAGGTTTCTCATTCTTCCCACATCCTCCCTTATACATAATATAATCTTTTGTACTCAACAGATTGACAGTTTGGATCACAGATGTAATAATGCAAACGAATATTCTCAATTTTCAATTATTGATGCATTCAAATTTCAATTGATCTTAGCATTGCGGGATTATGCAATTTTAAGAAAAAAAATATTTTAATATGCAATGTAACTGTATAGAAAAAAATTGAATCCTTTTAAATTAAAAGTGCATTAGTATATTATGTGCTAACAATTCAAACGATAGAAATGATATAATAACTAAACAAAGGTGTACATTTATTTTATTGATGCATGCGTAATCCCGTTTTTAGTGCTACGAATTATATTAATAAATTGATTATCAAATTAATTATTAAGAACAAATATATAATGTAAGATAAAAAAGGTTGTTACATTCAACTCGTTGCTTTAATTTCACAATTAATACAAAATGTATATTTGGTATCTCATGATAATGAAATATAGCAGTATACAAGGAAAACATTATTTCTCGCAATATCTCGATATAACAATTATTTTTTTGTTCATTTCTGAAAGACGTCAAATCGTAGATCAAGCGTAGATTCATAGAAATAGCGTAATCGCACGATAATCTCTTTTGCACTTCAGGTAAATGTTGAAACGAAAGATTTTCGAAGCCTAAAGTTAGTGACATCAGTTCTATACATTAGGCTCTATAGATATTTATTTACATGAAGGTTCACGATACTACGTGAACATACGATGACGTAAAAATTTACATTATTTTATAATCTTTATCTCACAAGCGACTAGCTGGTGGATCGCGAGCGTCAGGAATCTAGTGGAAGGCTTTGCAGTTCTATGTTTTTATTTGTGATATAAAATATATTTACGATATGGATTTATTTATGCTATTTAGACAATACTATGTATTGAGTTAGAGTAGAAAATTTTTTATTAATTTTGCATATTTAAATCTCGTTCGCGATTCCATCACCGTCACGATCACCATGCAATTTCCGATATTCTCAGCCCTGCTCAAAACCGTGCTTCGTTCGCATATGCTTCAGCAGGTTGCAGTGTAATTTCGATCTTTTTGGGCAATATAGGCACTGATATTTCGGCGGCTTTCCGCATTCCTCCCTCATATGTCTCGTCAATGAGCTGTAATACACGTATGCATTTCCGCAGTTCTTGCAGGTGTGCATCTGATTCCCAAAAGGTCCGCCTGCAAAGAAAAATAATATGATCATGTTAATACGAATCGTATAGCTTGCTCGTTCGTTTTCATGGTCCTTTTCATATTAGCCAATATATTATTTCTAAATTATTCTCACAAATTTATAGTATAAATAATCATAATTATTTTTTTCCCCGAATATATACTTGTCACAATTAGTGACAGTTAAATATAAATATTTGATAATTTGTTACAGTTACGTGAAGAAATTTGATTGATCTTTCAATTGTTCTACGATGTTTATAGCATAACAATAAAATATAAAAACAGTAAACGATGACCAGAATTTCACAGAAGTAATTTTTTTTCTATTTCGGATAATATTCTACGTCGGTATTTTATTAATATTCAATTTTAATTAGAAATAATTTCTACCGAAATAACACAAAAATTTTTCGAACAATTACAAACCGAGCATGAACAACCAATCCTTTTCACTCGAGTGTGTTAATATCAATCTCGTAGAGACACACATTAGAAAAAAAAATGCACGCAGGGAAGCTTAAATCTACGCACCTTTCGTACTTTCACGTGTACTTTCTTCATATTCTTCTTGCATACAGTCCAGCCGTTCCTATCGGCGTAGACAAGGGTTACATATGGTAATTGTTAAAGACGAAGACAGGATAAGCACGAAACAAATAATAAAGCAAAATATAAAATTGCGACGAACATAACTCTCATGCACTCATTAGTATGTCCTGTAGTATTAATTTTTGCAAGAGCATAATTACCATATGTCTGGATTGATTTTAATCCATGTGATGATATTCATTCGTTTGCAACTTAATTAACATATTCTTTGTACAATTAAAAGTTTTTGTTATTTTTTCTTTCTAGGGAAATGAAAAATAAATGCATATTTAAACGTTTATTAAAAATTTTCAATGTTTAAAATTTTTCTGGAATATTTTGTTTTATATTCAACCTAAAAAAGCAAATTAAATTGTATAGTAATTTTATAGTATAATAGTATATTATACTATTTTATAGTAAAAACGCATATATCGTGTTGTATAAACATTGATGACGATGACCAATTACGAAAGAAAAATTTTACAACGATATAAAAATAAAAATGAGTCCACTATTAATTCTTCCAACTTGTTCTTGTTGCAAAAACTTAGCATTAAAAAGTTATGTATCAAAAAATTTAATAGAAAATAAAAAGGAAACATAGGTAGAGATAAAAAGATTCATTATAGTATATAAATATATATAGTATATATTAACATTCAATATTTCAGATAGACGCATTATGGTTTCTACAACATTTTATCGTCAAAAGATACAATTTAACATTTACTTTCGCTTACACAATTACGCAACAGTATGACCTATTAACATCACATATTTATATATTAATGATAAATTTGCATATCATAATACACAGCAGAAGATGCGCCAAAATATATGAAATTTCCTCAATTTTCCAATTCAGCATAAAGCATGAAATATCTTTAGAATTGTACAACTGTACAAAAATGTACATTCTTATGTACAACAATGAAACGTAATAAGTGCGAACACACGTATTACTCTAATTATTCGCAACGTTGTAGGTACTGCAAATAAGTCTCTTTCCAAGAATATTAACATCGAAAAGAGCACCGTTTGTTCGCCTTAGCGCAAAAGAGTATCGATCATCAATTTGGAGGACGGTCGCGAAGCGAATTGTCCCCTCGACAATCTTTCGACAATTAAATCCTAGCAACCGTGCTCCTTCTTCAGGTGATTCAACAGATTGAACTTCATCGGCATGACGTTGTGACAGTACGGGCAGGTGTATAAGATCCTGCCGCATTCCTCTCGCACGTGTCGGTTCAGCGCCATCCGCGACCTATACGTTTTCCTGCACTCGCAACACGTGTGCAAACCTGAAACGGAAGGAAGAGAGCCACGTTGAATATAGCCGTCTTACGTCACGGAACTCACGACGATCAACAATGCTTTCGGTGTCCTCGCAAAAGCATTAGCGTCGACATTAGTTAATCCGCGTCATAGAAATATTAAATATATCTCTAATATATTTATATTAATATATTATTTTATTTATTTATTTATATATTTAATATATCTATGATCCGCGCATTACATATCCGATCGTTTTTTTCTGTGCCGTACCGAGTAGTTCACCGGGATCGTGGTGTCCTGCCGAGTCCTTTGAGCGATCTGAAACAGGGAATGCATTTAATTGTCTGTTAGTAGCGTCTCGGAGAATCTTAGCGAACAATTATATTTCTAGAGTAGAGAATAACAGATGTCATTCTGAAAAAAAAAATAGCATTGTCGATGGATAAAATAAAATTTTACATTAACAAAGAGACCGACACTTATAAGATCTTGTATTTATATAAACACAGATTTATTAAATTTCAAAAAAAAATAATTTATTATTTTTCGTTCTCAGATATGGTTCCTAATTTTTATTAAGTAAAGCTTCGGTCATGAGAGGTCATTGAAATTATTTAGGCGGAAAGTATTATCGTGCATAAAATATTTCATTACTAACTGAAAATGAGAAGATTTCTCGTTTCATTTTTAATACTTTTCTGACACTTTATTGTTGGTATTATTACGAAAATACATGCATTTATAAATATTATGGAGTATACGGTATCTTTATGTGTTTCGCATTAAACGGCTGGCACTCGGTGCCGAGATAAAATTTTGAGATTGATTATGCAGCTAAAGTGCAATCAATAATGTGTATAATGTTGGCAACAATATCTATCATCAAATTCCAATAGTGAATTATGGAACAGAATATTCATTTATACACTTTATTCTTTCTGATGAGAGATGAACGTTTCCTTATCGTGTCCTTTTAATCACAAAGAAAAGCATGTGTGTAAACATGTATACAATATTGAAAAGCGTAAGATGAATGAAATAACGCATCTTGTACAAGCCTTATTATTGTCACTCAGTCTTTTTTATAGTTTACTGTAGATTAAACTACATTATTCGTTACTTTATATACCTTTGCATTATACTTTTGCAACCTCGGTCATTATTATTATTATAGTATTTGCGTGATTACATATAACAAAGCGTCAGGAGAAAAAAAGATCTACTACAAACGAGAGGACTTTTTCGGTTCTTGTACAATCTCTCAGAAATTTATGTGCATCGTCCATCTATGAGATCCGAGTTTCCTTCCATCACGTGACAAAAATGCGCCGATTGCTGATTATTAACTAATACAATACATCGAGTCATTCTATATTAAGAACTCGAAATCTACATGCATCATCGTCTTTGTAGCTTACAAGCTTACGAGAGTTTATGAAAAATATATTCTTCAGAAAAAGAGAACGCTTTCTCTCAGGACTCTAATCGCAACTACTTAGAAAAAAAGGGTCGTCGAGATCTCGAAACGGGTCACTCATAGATCCTTTTGTCGGAGCTGCAAATTTTCAAGTTGAGTCACATAACGCATCAGCCACGAAGAACCATAATGACGACTAAGGCAATTCGACAATTCCTCCCCGATCCATCCTGTCGTGGGACGTTCAAGTGTTGGGCGAGGTGACCTTGAAGTGCTGCTCAGCTTGATGAGCGTGTAGGATGAAGGCCTTGAAGGCGGCAAACGGGCATAGCGGACACTTGAACTGTGGCGGTTCGCACTTGTGCTTTAGGTAATTGCTCCACATCTTGTAGAACTTACTGCACATGGTGCAAGTGTAGCCGAGAACCTGATCGCCCATGTACATCTTCCGATAAGCTGGAAACAGAGAGACCAAGTTAGTTAGTCGAGCGAGAGCTAACTGCGCTATTCAAGACTCACGCACAAGAGAAAAAGAAGGATTCAACAGAAACAATCAGGATAGAGCCACAGAAAGCACTCTGTCTAAGGCAACAATCAGTCCGACTTATGAGATGTATCACTTCACGTTAATTCATTTCATTCATTTTATGAACGCGCATCATTTTCGAGAAATTCAATAAGAGGAAGAAAATTCGAATGGTTGTGTGACAAAACGTTTTGCTGAGCAAAGTTTGCATGTTACATCATAATATATAATTGATTAATTTTGCAAAAGTTTTAAAACACATGAGATTTCCATTATAACGATCTATAATTTTATAATATTTTTTATCAGCGTTATATACACAGCTGAATTGAACATTGCTCAATCTACATTTAATGTACAAACATCTGAATTTTCTTGTATATCCTTCTTTAAAGTATCACGAAACGTTTCTTGAAAAATTTTTAGTGTAAATTATCTCTATATTCATATAATCGAATACTGAAATCTCATAAATTGAACTTGCGATCTTAATTATCTTAATTATCTTGCGATCTTAATTTATTTTTTTCCGAAAGCTTGGTGCATCTCTCAGAATTCAAAAGCCATCCTAAGAATCAATGAAAGCTTGGAAAACTTTGCAAGTAATTCTCACACAAGAATAACTACTCTATAAGTTCTAATGAAAGCCTGACTCGGGATCAGAAGGATTATTAGATGTAAGTTTACTAAGCCGCTAAACATTGTTTCTATCAAAGCATTCATGTATGTTGCTGAAATAATATATACAGACATATTGATTCGTTTTCTAATATACTAAAATTATAATATATTATAAAACTTAGAATCCAAAAATTCAACTGAAAATTGTTTCTGCCTTAAAAAATTTAGATTCTTGAATGGCATTTAGCTTGTTATACAAATATATCTTCTCATATACTCTTCCCAAATAAAAATAAATCTAAAGCTATATTTTGATAAAATAAAAATTATTTCTTCAGATTTTTCTGAAAAAAATTTCTATTATTAGTTGAACAAACAAGAAATATCATAAATTTTTCTACAATTATATTTTACTGTAAATAATTATCCAAAATTAAACGCCGATTGATTTATTATTATAAATATTTTTCAAAATAATTATTTATTAAATATAATTTAAATATATGAAATACTTAAAAATAACTAAAAAGTAAAAAAAAACATTTTATAACAATTTAGTGTCATATGTTTTATATATTTCAATCTGTCAAATTCTGTCATTATCATTTACATCCCTTTCGATGTTATATATTGCATTTTTATCTCGATGTTTTTAATCTCTTCTGCATTTTTATAATTTCTTATCATTTTCATTCCACTGTCCCGATTCTATTCTGAAACATTTTTGTTTGTTGTTTGTTAAATATGTATATAAAAAAATGAAAACCTTTAATGAAAACATATCTGTCAGATGTTTCAAGATACAAATTTTTAAGAAATAAAAAAATTCAGCAAATAATAGATTTATCCAAAGAAGCCCTCAGAAAAAGTTTATTTTGCTTTTAATATTATACAATCATTTACATTAATATTCTAATAAATGTTCCAGTACACAAAAATGTGATAAGTCAATACTTATGATCATCAATATGAAACAATATAAAAAATTACTGTAAATAAAAAACAAATTATTTTTCATATATATATATATATATATATATATATATATATACCAATATATATATATTTATATAATATACTTATAACAAGAAGTTACAAATTATTTTATATTTACAAATTATTATATCAATATAATTAAAATTATACTTAATATTATCAATATATAACATAATAAACACAAGAAAACACTCTACATCTAACAATAAATTTCGTCAAGTGTCAAAATTATTTCGATGTTACAGCATTTATTTTCTTAATTAAATAAGTAATAAAATAACAAATAATTATACTATGTCTAAAATATCTTCAATTAGATAGCTATTAATTATTAAATAATTATTAAAACATAATAATAATTAAAATAATTATTAAGGTTGTGGAGAGTTAATGATTATTAAATTTTAAGTATTTTATGTGCACACTTTTATAATAGTTCTTGCTATTGATAATCGATATAAAAAAATCAGAAAAGTATAGAGACGCTCGGTAGTTAGAGAACTTAGTACTAAGTCTCTCGATCAAATTGTTATGGTGTAAATTTTTATCTTGTTTTTATTATGTGTTTGCATACAAGTCCATTATTCAAAAAAATCTCTATTCCATATAATAAACTAAAATAAAAATCCGACCGAAGAATACTATTCAAATTGATTCCACGTGAGTCAATGTTGCTATACTAAATCTTCCACTTACTCAATTCGTTTAAAAATAAATGTCTCAACGAAAGACAAATCATTTTATTATGCGTAAAACATTAGAGATCGATTGTGGACGATGTTAATGAATAAAAAAAAAAACAGATTTTATAAGACGTTGTGATGTTTCTTCTTGTGCCTGTCGATACACCACTTGTGCGGGCTCTTGTACGGACACATCTCACAGTTGATCTTCGGCTTCGCATTCACACACTCGAACTTCCGGTGCCTCCAGAGGGATCTCTTGACCGCGTAGCTTTTGCCGCAGTCCGCGCACATGTAAGTCCTCTCGTGCACTTCGCCGGTGACATTTCCTCGTTGCTGTTGTAGAAGCTCACCAGCGTCGCACTCGTACATTCTTTTGTAAGGCCATAATAAGGCTGAAACATCAAAATCGTCAGATCGGTTAATAGGAGCAATCGATGATCTCAAGAGCAAGCACAGTAGATATCAGTTGTGAGTTGTGAGCGAGTCTCAAACAAGATCGATCGATATTTCGATCTCGACGACATCGTCAATATAGGAGGATTGCCGATAGATAGCTATTGCTCGCAACAATTTGAGGAAAATCGCCTTTCGATCAATGAATATCAATCGAATAGGAATCGATCGCTCAAGAGCGAGTCCAGCTCGTTCAGATCTCTTCATAGCGTAATTCTTGTCGCATTCCGCGCATACAAATATTGAAATTCCGCGAATCTCTTCGAGTGTCTCACCGAAGGTGATTCTTTATTGTTGGTGTTGGTCTTGTTAGGCCACAAGGCTGAAACATCAAAATGTCAGATCGGTTTAATGAAAGCAATCGGCGACGTCAGATAGAAGTACATCTATTGATTCTCAGACGAAATATTGACGAAGTCGACGATATTGCAGGATGGTTGTTTTAATAGATATTGCTGAGATATATTTTGAGAAAAATTCTCAAATCTAAACAGTCGTTCGATCAAATTACGAGAGTAATGCTCGAGATTTGTTAAAATTTTTTAATTTTCATCTGGTGACTTCAGAGTTTTTACATCTTTTGTTAGAAATACAAGGATTATAATTAATTGATTTTAGAAAGTGCATCTTCCTGCATCTCTCGATGCATCAAACTTGAATGTAAGGATAAAACCCACAGTTAAATTTCGCCTTCACACTTTTAGACACTCGAATTTGTGATGGTTCAAAAGTTTTTTCGGCGATGTATAACCCTTGGCACAAAGAACGCATATGTAAATCCTTTTTCGAACTATAGTATCTCTTTTTTGTCGATGTAACACGTTGATCTTGCCTTCGTCAATTTTCTTGTGAACAGAACAGTACGTGTGCCACCACAAAGCTGAAACAAAAATATCAAATCGATTAATAGGAGCAATAAAATATATATAATTGCACACGCGAATTTATGCAAGTTGTAAAATGTATTTTATGAAAATTTATTCAAATTTTAGCAAAATATTGTGCGTGTTTAATTTGAATCAAAACAGAAATATAACAGAAGTTATATGACATAAAAATTTTACAAATAAAATATCACTCTATTCCATCACCTCTCATTTTTTCATTGTAAACTTTAAATAACATATTCAACTCTTCCATTAATTTTCACTATTTGATTTTAATTAAGAAATTATTTCCCAAGCATAAAACCTTCTTAAATGCAGGATATTGAAAGCTGTTTAAATAGTTGAAAATAGACCCAAATATAAAATATGCACATAAAGAAAAAATCAAAAATATTCTGATAGGAAAAGAATAATAGGAGCATGTCGCTTGTAATTGTAAATTTGTATTTATCGTAAAATTAACGCAATTTTATATACATCGACACAAACATCGATGAGAACAAGGTGACATACGATAGGAATAATAAAGTTTCCTGTTTCCTCTCTCAGACTTTATAGCGTTAAAGCGTATTTGCAATTAACAATGAAGACGATAGTACCCTGATGCATATAGAGTAATCTGGTTTCGATGTAGGCACAATCGCTTGACCCCGATAAGATTCTAAAGCTTAGATGGTTTTTATAATCTTACATATTCAATCGTTCCGAACTTCTTAATATAGATTTCACATTTCATATGTTTCAACATTTGATATGCTTTCCACATTATCGTGTGAAAATAAAAAATAAAATTGCAGCCCACATCGAAAATATAAAAATCTGTTGGAGGAAATAGCACATTAATTAGAAAAACAATTCCATCTCGATTGCTGCGATAAATGCAAAGTCGTGAGCAATCAAAGAACATCTAATAACTTCAAACAAATTTAAAAAATATTATTCCTTACGTAATTTCATTCACGCTCTCTTCTCTCGAATTTAAATTTACAAACTGCTGAAGCATTATCTCATGTGTACATGTTCGATATTATATAATCTCGCACTGTGGTTAAGTAATAGTCTTAAGACAAGTTGTGGCAACGAGAATGATTGTAAATGGAGAGACATATATATATATATATATATATATATATATATATATATATATATACAATAATATAATATATAATAAGTGATTTAAATAAATAAGTAATAAATATTATATATAATAAAATATTACTTATATTATTTAATATATAATATTTATATTATTATATTATAATATGTATAATATTATTATAATATATA